CCCCGCCCTCCCCCTCCCCCCCAAGTGCTCTAATTTCCTAGAAAATTGCTTTTACAGAACATGACTTTACCTGGAAGGCTACTGGAAATATGTACATTTTCAAAACTTGTCCTTCTTCAAAGCAGCAGAATTTAAGAGTTTGCTTTGAATATATTAAAAAATAGTCTCATTTAGCATCATTTACAGATTAGATGGTTATGTGCTCTTAAACTCATGTTGCATTATCAGTTATTTACTGTGTTCTCCATAACCTCTCAAGATTCTGCAATCCTCCTCCTTTTCTAATTCATTTGGGAGAAATGCACACACATGAAATTACAAGGCTGAAACAGCAACCTCTTGCAACTGTATAGATGCAGTTGACTCTTGCTTTCTGGTATGAGTCCAAACCTCCTTAACACTATAAGTGACTGTGGCACTTTTAAAATTATATTCTGCCTGTCCTTTGAACATACTTCCTTTTTTTTAATATGCAGTTAACTGTAAGAAAAGGTCTGTATATCAGAGGCACTTTTAAGTCTAACCATCAACAAAAGTACACTAGAGAAAATGAGTAAAAGCTACTAATTCTTCTTCATATCTTATACTTCTGAAATTCTTATAAGCCTCTTACATTGTCACAACTATGTTCATTTGTTTGCTTAGGCTTAGGTTTGAGCTTTTCAAACACAAAAATTATTGCTATTTTGTTGAGAATTGAATTTTTCTCTAGCCTTTCATATTTCTTATTTATCTCATCCAAAAAAGAGAACAGTTAGGAACTGAATTCCTCAAATTTGCAACAGCTGTGAGTCACTAAACCTCCAAGAGAACCTGATGGGTCCCCTGAGAACAGAGGCCAAATACATATGGAATAAAAATATCATATGTGGCATAATATTTCCCCTTTCTGAGATGCAATGGACTTAAGTTTTCAATGAATGGATTTTATCTGCCAGAAAAAAATTCTGTCAGTTGCAAAATTATACCTGTAAGAAAAGAGAAGATGATTACAGGTAGGTTGCATGCTCAGCCATTAGCTGCTTTCATTTCCAGAGGGTTTTCTCAACTGAGATCCAATTCTATTTGTCACAAAACCAAATCATAATTCAGGAACATGACTTAACTCACTGGAAACACAAAGTTATTTGAACTACACTGCCCTTAAAGTTGTTGTTGTTGTTGTTGTTGTTGTTGTTGTTATTATTATTATTATGCATACTTATTTTCATTAATAAAATCCCACTGAAACCAATGGGATTCTAAACAGAACAACCTGTCCCGCATGGGTGGACCCAAAACATACGGCATTAAAATGGGTATCTTCAACAGATGGAACCTAAGAACCTGCCTTTTAAATAATTATTTGCCATTTGAGACGTCTCTCTTACAGAATTATTTTCAAGAAAAAGGGAGGGAGATTTTCAATATTTTGTGAAAATTAACAGTTTCTTAGCAACCTTAGAATGATCAGGTGCTCAATATTTTGACAGTTACAACCAAAATCAAAGGCTACAAGATTCCACTTTGACATACAATGAAATAGTCCAAGCCCTCTTTTTGCCACCAAGACATGGCACTGCACTATAGCTTTATTATGAGAATGGGTCTGCAGCTTCTTGACATTTTGGAAGATTCTGTTTCCATGTATTTTTTCTTCATATTTTCTATTTTCTTCAGCTTTGGTTTTTTCCTTTTTTTTTTTTTAGTTAAAAGCTCACAGGGAACAAGAAATTATATTTTAGAGAAGATGTTAACATATTATACCAAGATGTAAAAATCATTTGTTTCTGAGCTAGCTCTGGTAATAAACTAACACACACAATATCTCAATCTCATTTAATTTCTAGTTTAAGATTAATTATTTTCCTCGCAGTATGCTACATTCTGGACAGTAGCCCAGCTATGGGTGAGTAATGGTAAATGGTTGGGAGTAATTTTCAAATTAAAATAAAATTGTAGTATGTTTTCAAAGACTTGTAAAATAAGGTCAATGCCAAAGAAAGGGGTTTGTTTTGTTAATAACTTTGATAAAGGAAGTTCACAGACAAAGCCTACTTCTTGCTGGCCTTGAGAGACTCCCAATGCCTGCCACAGTCATTAGTTTTAGGAGGTGCAGTTTCAAGCTCGTTCAGGACAAGTCCATGAAAATGGAAGCACTGCACAGCACCATGATACATGACAAGTATGAAATGTATTTGCATATCTATATATAATAAAATATAATAAATTCTATTTATTATATTTTCTAGAAAGTAACAGAATTACTCTGAAAATCTGCAGCACCTCTTTGGAGTGTATTTGTGGTGGAATTTATCCTTTAATATCCTCAAATTGTTTCAATTCTACTTTAGATTTATTTTGGATTCTTGAATATTATCTGTTTGATTTTTCTGTATTCCTCTGATGACCACTGTTTACAACAGTTATATAATCCTTTTTGCAAGCAGCTGTACTCAGCTCTCCCCTCATCTGCCCTCTATATTCATAGAAAGGTATTGGAAAAAAATCCCCAGGCCACAAGACAAATGCTAATTTATTGGACTAGGAAGATGCTAACCTAATAAGAACACTATTGAAAAGTTGTCTTAAAAATTTATTTTCCTGCAAATGCTCTAGCATTAGCCAATTCTGGCAACACACAGCCCCCTTAGGTAGATGTAGTGCAATGCTCTGACCCTGGTGCATGGAGGAGATGCAGGTGGGTTTCTTACAGGCTTGCACCATTGGCTCATGACTTGGAAGCAGCAATGAGACAGTAGGGTTGGGGGTTTCCCTTCCTTCACCCCTCTGCAACGTAACAGCTTCAATTCACCAACTGGAACATATTTTATGGGTCTCATTTAAATCTGAAAAGCTCTCAAATGAATACATTTACTGTTTGACAAAGGCACATTCTTGCATGATGAAGAAACTGATCCCAAGTTTAATTATGTATTTCTGGCATGCAAAACCTGTACAGAGTATATAAGATTTCTATTTACTGAGTAAGGTATGTAATTCATTGCCCGATCCAGTGATCAGCTGTGACTAGAAAGTGACTGTCTCCCAATTTAGATTAAAGGATATTAATAACACTTTCTCAGCCTGATCTCAAGTTCAGACCTGTTAAGCATATATTTATTTATTAAAATCCCCCTAGTAATGTAATACACATTACAGCTGAGCAACTCAATGTCTCTTAAAACCATAGTAAATTACTTTGTGATCTTTAACATATTAGGAGACAATACTGAAGTGCCCCTCTGAGAAAACAACACTTTCAAGGAAAGGAAAAAACATTGTAATAAGTGGTAAATCGAGCATTTCTCCTTCAGCAACTAATTTCCTCATACAGAATGGCTAATCACTCAGGTGTGGTATGAATTTTCTCCTCCTCTGTAGCTTTCAGTAACTGTAGCTTTTCAATAACTATTTTATGGACATTTTCAAATCTCAGTATTTTAAAGAAAGATGAATGTTTTTCTCATTCTATAGGATGAGGAAACTGTCACTGTTTTCAGACGCTACTTTGAAGGCACTCTGCTTTGCTGAGAGTCTCAGCTTGAAATTGTTCTATTTAGCAATTTATTTGAAATTAAACTGTGTCCTCTGCAGAAAGGAAGAAAGCATCTATTGGAACCATCCATCCCTGCGGTCTTCAGCTCCCAAGGGCTGAGACTGAATTCATAGTAGAAGCAAGCATACATCTAAATTTCGGAAAAGCTGTAAACAGAGACTTTCAAAGGTTGAATTTGTGAAAAGGTAAGCTATTATGTACATGCTTAGTTACCTAAATATGTGATCTGGTCTTAAGATGAGCTGAGTACTTACAGTCTGGATTAGAATGAACATGAGACTGCACATAGATTTTCTTTAAAAATTAGGTCTCTATTTGGTGTACAGAAGCACCTAAATTTGGTTATAATTATTTAAAAGAATTTTCTGTAATACTTTACTACCTAGTGTCTTCAGATTTTCCTGTCTAAGCACACATCAGTAATTACAATGTGTAATTTATGAATAAAAACCACCAAAACAGGCAAACAAAAAAGGTATTTTCTAACATAGTTCATATTAGAACCATACTGGTTTCTGTAATAAATAATTCTCCACACGGTATATATTAGAAATAAGAGATCTAAACTAGGCACATCTTTGGGTCTGAATCTGAGAGTAAGTATTACATAACCAACAATAAAGTTTCCCATTTCACTGAGACTTTGTCACTGTAAGTAATTACACTTTCTGGAGCAAACAGGAGATGTAAATGGCAAGGTAGGTTTTGATGAGTTTTGAGGCTTTTTTTTTTGTCCTCAGATCAACTCCAAATCTGACTTTAATAAACTTTTAATAAACTTTGAAAAAGGTAACAATGCATGCATTTCAATATCAGCAATACTTGCACAGGAATTACATGACATATAATTATGTTTCTAACAGTTGGATGATTAACCAAGACAGACTTCAATGATGTGTTCATTCATATAATACATAATTCTCAAGAGAAATAAGAAAGATTTCTACACTGACCATAGTCTGTGTTTTCCGGCTCCCAACAATTTGATGGCCAAAAATAGGGTGTCTATAGACAAAACAAAAAAGTAGGGAACTCAAGTTAGACAATGCAAGCATTATACAGTCTTTGGATTGATATTGGTTTTCAGAGTCAATTTACATTTTTGGTAGACCAATTATATTGTCAAGTTGACATTTTGAAATAGGTATCAAAACAGAAAATTACTTTTGTACGCTTGTTTATTGCACTAGTGTCAGAGTGGCATTGAAAAAGAAGAACTAAGTGTTTCTTTTATTCTTAAAGTTAGGGAAACAAAAACCACAAGGATAGGCAGTGAGGCTGTCTTTTTCATCTTTCTCAGCAACACAACTCTCACATGTCCTGAAGAATCAGTTTTAGAAGGTGAAAAGACAGAAGATCCCTTGGGGTACATTCAGTTCTTGATTTTGGAGAATTTTCATTAGTATATATTAATATTCAATTGTATTTCCTAGGAGTTATTTATTTAAAAATGCCACTAACACAACCTGTTTTCACAAAGTTATCAAAGTTCTTTTTAATTGTTGCGGTCTATTTTTTTTCTACTTGTTTACCAATTATGATTTAAAATGTGATTTTTTTAATGGAAAGCCAATAAAATTGTCAATAACTGGCTCAATACTATGCTTATTGAAACTGTGCTAAATGTATTTTTTAAATAATTCACTTCTACCAAATAAGAATATAAGACCATATAGGCATTTTTCATAAAAATAACTTAAATTATAAAATGGTAACTTTTTGTTAAAATATCAAGGATTATAGTGTTTTATATACAACATATATATATATATATATATACACACACATACACACATATCCACAGAATTATATATTATTTGAGCAGTTGAATGAATTGGACTGCTCTGAGTGGTATTTCAGAACACAGGCGCTTCCTTAGGAAGAACTTCTGCTTTACTCTCTGTTCCTGTTTTTTCTTGAAGATCTCCCAGCTGCAAAACCAGAAACCTCTCTTGCTGCCCACTTCCCTCAAAGTTGTTTTAATGTTAATTTGGAAAGCAACAGGGCTGAAGGGTGACGCATTCACACCTACTGTCAGGTTAAATATAGATTGTGAAAAATGTCTCTCTTTTGAAACAATGACCCATCAACTTTCATAGGAGCGATTTTAAACTTGCTATTTATAAAGCAACAGCAATGAGTTAAAAGGTAATAAACTCTCACAAGCTAACTTCTAAGGCCAAAACGTGTTTCCTATAAGCTGTTTTGTGCCCTGTAATGGAGTAGCAGTAAGTCATCCTCCTACCAACTATTCCTTCGCAGTGCCACTGAAATCAAATGGAAAGAAGAGGAACCCCTAAGCAATGAATGGCAGCACTCAGCAAATCCTGCAGAAGGAAGAAGCTATAAAAGTAATTTGACAATGTCAATCATATAAAGCATAAACTCACCATCATTTAAATATACAGTTCTCTAACCAGGGGAGAGAGAGGACAGTCCTTCCTCAGAGGCATGAAGTGCATGTCCGGAGAGACCCAAGAAGAAAAGCACGACTACATCATTTTCCTGCTAACAGTAACGTTAACCTCTCCTTACTGGTTTAAGCTGAGCTTCTGGTAAAAGGATGCAGTGAGGGTTACTAAATACATAGAAACCATATCCACTTAGGCATCTCCTGAGCTGAAAGTGGCTGGGGCTCAGATTTTATTT